TTACTCTCTCCTTCTTTGCCCAGGATACCTCACTTTTCATGGTGGAATCCACTTGCATGGTCTGATCACTGTTTTGCTTTTCCATTTATTCTTTCATTTACTCCTACAATGACTCAACAAATATCTTAAGCACTTACTAAGTACCAGGCACTATTTGGATGTTGGTGATACAATGGGGGTGGGGGAGGAATGGACAAAAATTCTTGCTTTCACGGAGTTTATCTTCTCCTGGAATAGGAGGTATAAATAAGTAGGCAAACAAATGCATTAGAGAGTATATGGTGTGATGATCCAGGTTAGAAGAAAGTAAGGGCGAGTGTGTGGTGCGTGCTGGGGAGTGGGTGAGGCTGCCACTTCAGTGTGCCCACAAAGGCTGGAGCAGCCACAGAAGTGGGGCTTGGAGCTATTGGGAAGAAGAGTGAGTGCAGTGCTCTGCGCAGAGGCAGCAGCCACTCTGGCTTTGGCGGCCCTGTGGAAGAAGCATGACTGGTGTGTTACAAGACAAGCAAGCTGGCCAGAGTGGCTGGCCTGGTGAGCAAGCTGGGACAGATGAAGGTGGGTAGAGAGGCTAGGGAGTAGAGGTCATTGAAACCAGGTCTTGTGGGCGCCTGTAGAGGCAGATTCTCATCTGAGTGAAATGAAAAACTCTGAGTGTAGCTTAACAGTATCCTATGCTGTTTAAATACTAAATGCCTCTTATTTTCTGTAGCATTGGCACATACATCAGCTACCATGCTGCTACATCAGAAATGTCAAAATGACCATAAAGAGTGACTGCTGTACCTTGTGTCCAGGGTCTGGTCTGCATGCCAGTCAGGGGAGCAACGTGACAGTCAGCAGATGTCAACTCTGGTCTTCACCTTGCCAACAACCGCTTGCATTATGGGCCTTGAATTTCTCATCTGAAAAGTGCAGTGGATGGATGAGATTAGTGTTTTTTCAGGCTCTGATTCAGGGAGCATGAGGGATTCCTGAAGCCCCTTTCATTTTTATTTTTATCCTGAAGGCCCTTTTATTTTTAAATTTTGTTTTTAAATTTCTTCTAAGCTTCACTTAGAAGAAAGTGCCCTCTAGCTTAAGAAAAAAAATATATCCCTGACTTGGTTATGCCTTAGGTTTTGTAGCATAATGAATTTGCAGCCTTATAGACTCTCAAATGACATGAGGACTAAAAGAGAAAAACCCCTTCAGAATCCCTTATTACTCAGTGTCTCTTGGTGACGGTGTTCATTATCTCTCATTGAAATCAAAAGGCAATTTGACGACAGTTAGACAAGGCTTTTGAGATCCCATTCTTCAACCTTGGTGAGGCGGCTTCTGTCATGAAACAGACTTCAGCTAAGTGAGTAATACAATCCGTGAAAGTCTTAGAAGGACTCTCTGGCACAATTTAGAAACTAGCAATTGAGGCAAATAAGGATAGTTGATGTACAGAGAAGGGCATAGGAATATCCCAATTATGGCATGAGCGCTGTCATTATATCTATTACATGTACTGAAAAGTAGTCATATCCTAATAACCCAGTTATATAATTGGAAGAGAGACTGGATCTTTTTGGTGCTTATGGTTAATGATATATTTTAGTGAAAGTTTTATTTTCTGTTAGAAGAAATAGGAAAATTGCCCTTTAAGATACTGACTGTCTGCTTCCTTTCCAATTTAGAGTCTCAATCTGCTGTTTCGGAAACTCCAAAAAAACGCTTGGATGCTGTCCAGCAGGTGAGACGATCTTATTAAGATGTCAGAGTCCCATCTGTCTTGTTTGTCTTAAGATTGTGACAGACTCTGTGATTTATCTTTCCATCTGCCCGGCTGGCTAGGATGCCCTTGTTTTCCCTTAGCCTGCAGGGGAATCCTGTCAGGCAGAAGGGGATGTTTTCTTTCATTTATTATTTGCATAGAAAATCAGCCTTGAAGTGGAACTGAGTACAAGCTTTTCAGAAGCTGCTTCATTCTATATCCAGCCAAAGAGTTGGGCCCAACAACAGCTGGCTCCAGCAGGAAATGGTGGCCACTCCAGGAAGTCTGCTGAGATGTGCCTTTTCAAATGGTTCCATGGCTATGATCTTAAAAAAAAAAAAAAATCTGTCAGAGCTTTGCTAAAGTCAAATAAGATTCTTATTACTTTGGTGAATGAAACATTAATTAGTATCTGTTTAATTTCCACAGAACCTTTTTTTTTTCCTGTTACTGTTTTAGTCCATTTTCATGCCTTGCTGATAAAGGCATACCCGTCTATGGGCAATTTACAAAAGAAAGAGGTTTATTGGACTTACGGTTCCACATAGCTGGGGAGGCCTCACAATCATGGCAGAAGGCAAGGAGGAGCAAGTCATATCTTATGTGGATGGCAGCAGGCAAAAAAGAGCTTGTGCAGAGAAACATCCGTTTTTAAAACCATTAGATTTCGTGAAACCCCTCACTATAATGAGAACAGCACGGGAAAGACTCACCTCCATGATTCAGTCATCTCCCACTGGGTCCTTCCCACAGCATGTGGGAATTATGGGAACTACAAGATGAGATTTGAGTGGGGACACAGAACCAAACCATATCAGTTAGCAAAGAAGCCAAATTTTATGTGTTTTTTTTTTCTTATGCTAAAATGGACTTCTTATTTTTTAAAAAAAAAGATGCAAGAAAGGAAACATTTGTATGGAATAGTAATTGTGGATAGCAATTGCTCTTTTGGATATAAAACCATTTGCTTAATTTATTTATATTTTCACCCAACTATGCTTTTGACAGTAACTTCTTATTAGAAATGAACAGTAGAAAGAGGTTTCGGTTCTGTTAGTGGTCTAGGAGAAAATGAGGAGACACATACCTGGGTTTTACACCTGGATCTATTTCTGGTGAGTGTGATGACAACATGCTTAGATTACCTGGGACATAGGGTTCTTCTCTGTAAAATTAAAGAATTGCTGATCAAAGCATAGAGTGACTTCCCTTTTGAAAAGCATCCCTGCGTTATACATGAAAGTCGTGCTCCCCCTGGAGGAGAAATTGGGCTAAACATTGGTTGAAAACAGCACCTGGATGCTTTGCTTTTCGCTCCTCATTTCACTGCAGGCACCTGGGTGCTTTTCAAAACTGCAGCTAGATTAGCTATCCTTAAGGACAGTTCATTTAAAAGGCACGTTTTTCCAGCTTATTGTTATGGGAGCAGAGGCCTACATCAACTTGGCGCCACTTGAGAGGCATGGTAGGTTCAGCTCATGGTTACTTAATTATTTGCAGTGATTAGCCCACAGTGAATAAGATGAAGAAAGATAAAAAGGTACAAAGAAATAGTAAAGTCAGCAATTATTAAGAAAAATAGTACCCTCAAATCTTCTCTCATTTTCTTAGCCTTTTTCTTAAGCATGGCTAAATTGTGATTTAAAGGAATATATTAGGTTTTTCTACATTCTTATGTCCAGGATGCATATGAATGAATTGTTCTATATGATAATGTCAAAGAAAACCTGGATAGGAAGTATTTGATAATATCAACAATGACAAAACATGTACAACATTGCTTTCCATATTATGCTATTTCACCATATATATTCATATGTGTAACATTATAGAGTGTTTTTTTCTGAGCTATGGACCATGGTAAAATATATTGCAATAAGCAGGAAACCTAATGGAGTAGGTTATTTAAAAGCACTTGATACTACAACTTGAAGACTCAAGGTGAAATAGATTGAATCAATGTTACATCTTATCCTTGTTGACGGCCCAGTGTTTAGAAGTCAGGAAAATTAATTGAGAGGTAACAGTATTTGGAAGCAATCGAGATTAAGCACCCAACAGTGACATCACTTACTTTTGGAATCATTAACTGTTTGTCATACATTTATTTTATGGGCTGAATCTTTTCTTAGATGATATGGGTATGTTTTGTGACAGCCTAAAGTAATTGGCCATAAAGGGGATACAGAAAACTCAAATTAATCCCTAACCTACTGTACACCTGTTCTTTTACTACCTTATAAAATCTTTACAATAATCCTTTATTATAATGTATATTTCATTGCTAAAGAAAGTGATTATAGGAGGTGAAAGTAACTTGTATAAGATCACACACTTGATAAAGGGTAGACCCACTACTCTAGTATATATCTGTTTTATACTTGTAATAAAAGTTATACTTTTACATGGGTAATCACCCTGTGCTATTTAGGACTATCTCATGCCAAAATCATCAGATGAATGAGATGAGAAGTTTATTTTAAATTTATTCTATTTAAATTATACTATGTATGAGTCAGATGTCAAGATATATTATAGATGCAAATAGGCACATTAGTTCACTTACATGTTTTGAAGTTTTACTAGAACTTTGGGTGCTTAGTTGTGTTAATTTTACTAACTTTCGTGCTTTGTTATAACATAAAAAAATATTTTTCATGTAAAGCCCTTGCTTTTTCCTTCTTAGTCACTAGATGGCAGTTCTGTATCTCTAAATCACCACTGCAGATGGAAATGAGGTTTGAAGTCAGTTTTCTAGGTATGAATGATGAACCTAAGAGATTTGTCTGGTCCACCCAGTGTTGCCTGTGTTCTTCTGTGGTCGTAATTGAGATCCCCAGGACTGCTTAGTCAGAGGCTTGCAGCCGAGTTGGAAAGCATCCTCTCTAAGTTATTCTTCAGATGTGTGTTCAGGCACCTGTTCTCTCAATCTGAGCACATTGGAATTTATTGAATGAGTTTTGACTTTTACTCTTTCTGTAGTTAATAATTCTGAGAGCTCAGTATCTTTAGAAAAAACACATGACTCATAAAGCCTTTCCTCAACTCACAGGAGTCAAAGGCTATGGTGTTGCCAGAGAGTCTGATGCTTAAAGCAAATACAGCTGACACTTAAGTGAAAAGAATGGACTGTAGCTACTCCTTGAGGGCTTTTATTGATGATCCTGTGGAATTAGGTTTTCAAATAAAATTACATTCTTTAGACCTCACTTACAGATTATTTTAATTTCAAGTAATATGCTGAAAGCCTGCTATATCTGAAGGATTATGTCATAAAACTGGAACGTGACTGTCTTTTGATTTTTTTCAATCCTTTGGCATTTGAAATATTATTTAAACTGTAAAGCTTTTACACTCTATAGTATATAATAGCTTAGTGTCAATTATTTTATCCAAGAACATTTGCTTCTAAGTTAAATATTGGTGTATGGTAACATGCTTTACCTGGTGGCCCCCTAGTTTCCAGCTTACTTTTTGCTTTTGAAATTATACATAAAAATTTTGTTCGAAGTACTTTTCTAATACTCTTGATATCTTTCCAATGTAAATGGACTAGTTGGAAAGGAAATAGAGTAAAATTTTGATCTTTAAAAACTCTAGCTTTGGGTAAGAATTGAAAATAACAGGAAACTGAAAGTTGGGTCTTTGCACATTATAATATTTCTTATTTATCAATAGTCACATATATTACGAATAGTTACATATATTACAGGTGCCCACCAGCACACCCAGCTAATTTTTGTATTTTTTAGTAGAAATGAAGTTTCACTATGCTGGCCTGGTTGGTCTCAAACTCTTGACCTCATGATCTGCCCACCTCGACCTCCCAAAGTGCTGGGATTACAGGTGTGAGCCACCACACCCAGCCTTGAAGAAGTACATATATATATATATAATTGGATCTCCTTAAAGTATCTGTTATAGTACTCTTTACAGAATGGCCACTCAGTTCCATTTATTAGTTTCAGAAATAATTTAGGAACAAGTCAAGGGAACAGATGGAACAGTGTGGGGTAGTCTAGTGGCTGGTGCTTAGTTACTCAGAAGCAAAGTTTGAAGAGCAAAAGAAGCACTGATCAGATCAAAAGAAAGTGATGGTGTAAAAGTAATTCTGAAGAAATAATGCTGGAGACATAGAAAAACAAGTCATTTGAATTGGGGTAGAATGTCTTAGACGTCTGGAAGGGCACTAAAGAAACATTATTGAATGTCAGGTCCTTCTCAACTCCAGGGTAAAAGGCAATATGAATTTGCAAGGTAATTAGAAACCAACAAAACAATAATCCGTAAGACAAGTAAATAACTAAAATATAAAGCAGAATAAGAAAAACAAGTCTTGGCCGGGCGCGGTGACTCATGTCTGTAATCCCAGCACTTTGGGAGGCTGAGGCGGGTGGATCACAAGGTCAGGAGTTAAGAGACCAGCCTGGCCAGTATGGTGAAACCCTGTCTCTACTAAAAATACAAAAAAAATTAGCTGGGCGTGGTGGCACATGCCTATATTCCCAGCTACTTGAGAGGCTGAGGCGGAAGAATCGCATGAACCCAGGAGGCCGAGGCTGCAGTGAGCTGGGATCCTGTCACTGCGTTCCAGCCTGGGCGACAGATCTTAAAGGAGACAGAGAGAGAGAGAGAGAGAGATACTTGGGTCTGAAACCATGAGTTGGTCATCCTTGATGTCTTCCTCACTGTCTGATCATTGTTAGGTCCTGAATAAATAGTTTAACCAATAAATACTGTGGCCAAATGAGTCTGGGAAGGGGCAAGTGAGAGATGGTTAGGAAGGAAAGAGAGGACAGGATACTCTTGTGGCAGTGCTGACACTGAAGACAGGTAACATTGTGAAAAGTGTTTGCCATACCATGTTGAGAGAAAGATTTTTTTTTTTTTTCTGGTGGAGGAAGAATTTTTATTCTGTAGAAACGCCAAGGAGTTCAGAGAAAAATGTAGACATTTGAGCTTAGAAATAATAATAAACT